CGCCCCGGCGGGGGCGGCGGGCAGGCACCGCCTGCCACAGCTGCATGGCTGCAACCAGCCCAGTGCCCACTGCAGCTCCCAGCGCCCAAACTGGGGCCTCCCCAACTCCTTGGAGGCCCCAGATGGAGCAGCTTTATGGGGCAGATGGGTGGCCAGTGGGACACATCACCCACCACAGCACCCCACGGGGGGTGAGAGGGGATGGAGGGACTTTGGGACACGTCCCTGTGGGGCAGGGGGCCACAGTGGAGAGGGAAAGTGGGGAGGGGGAAAGGAAAGGAGGAGCCTCGTGGGGTCCCTGGGGGGAGCAAAACCCAGCAGGGTGAGGGGAGGAGAGAAGGAATGGGAGGGACAGATGGACGGAGAGGAGGGCGTGTGCACTGGGATGGAGGGACAGATGGACAGGCAGATGGGTGGGTGGATGGATGGATGGATGGGCGTAGGAATGAAGTGACAGACAAGTAGAAGTATACTGGGACGGAGGGAGGGAGGGAAGGAAGGAAGGAAGGAAGGAAGGAAGGAAGGAAGGAAGGAAGGAAGGAAGGAAGGAAGGATGGATGGAAGGAAGGATGGATGGATGGATGGAAGGAAGGATGGATGGATGGATGGATGGATGGATGGATGGATGGAAGAAAGGATGGAAGGAAGGGTGGATGAATGGATGGAAGGAAGGATGGATGGAATGACAAACAAATATGCAGTGAGATAGACGCATGGATGAATGGACAGCTGGACAGACAGAAGAATGGAACAACAGGCAGATAAACAGATACACACTGGGGTGGAAGGATGGATGGATGGGTGGAAGGACGGATGGATGGGTGGATGGATGTTCCTGCTCAGCGCCAGCCCCTTACCCGTGTCCTGCCGGAACTGGTGCATGGACTGGAGGTCGATGACGTAGGGCGCCAGCTGGACGTCGACCTGGCCCAGCACCACGCTGCCACGGGCGTCCTCCTTCAGCACATTCTCGATGTGGTGGCAGACGGCGGCTGAGGAGGGCCGCCAGCGCCCATGCTCATTCAGCCACTCCCACACCACCACGCGGGCCATGTTTTGGGGGGGAAAGCCCAGGCCACCGGAGGCCAGCATGGCCCCCGAGCCCTGCCGCGCCATGCCGGGGAGACAGTGGCTCAGCCCTGTGCCATACCCCGGCACAGGGATGTGGTGTTCACCTGGAGCCCCTCCAAATCCTCCTCCCGGCTCCCACTGGCTGTGGGCTCCGCAGTTCAGCAGAGCAAATGCTGCGGGGCTCTGCAGAGATGGGCGCTGCCAGCCAGGTCCCCGAGGTCCCCAAGCTGCTTGGTCCCGCTCCCCCGGGGCTGCTGCACTGGGCTGGGGCCATCCATCACCCGAAACGTCTTCCTCGGCCCTTCCTCCTCCCTGCGGCACTGGCAGGGCTCAGGCTCCAAAAAGTCACCGGGACCACCCTGGGCTGCGTCGGCTCAAGGGTGACCAGTGGCTGCAGATGATACAGGGGGCACACGACCACGGTGCTGTCCCCACAACATCCCCTCCTCCTCTTCCTCCTCGTGTCCCGCCACTCAGCCTACATCCTTGGTGGCTCCACAGCTGTCCCTGCTCCCCAGCACATCACCGGTGGGAAATGAGGGGGGTGTCACCTGCAAAACAGGGCCATGGCACTGGTCACCCCGGGTACCACCATGCTGGTGGCGGCTGGGGGACTGTCCCCATCACCCCCACAGAGCTGGCGGG